AAATAAATATATTTATAATTTTTTTTTTTTTTTACACTTTTTTTTTTTAGTTTATAGCAAGCAGTCACTATGACTGCTTGATACATTAACTTTTTTAACTTTTGATAATTATTAGGCTGCTCCAAACTTAGGAACAGCTAATAATAACCTTAGAGACTGATCCAGAATCAGATCTCACTAAAGGTTTCTGATCGTGCTCAGACAATCAGAAGTGAAACATTTCAGGCACAGAGATACATTGTAACATTGTCCCTGAAATGTATCACACAGCTTCATAAACATCGGGCCAGTCTATGGAGCTGTCAAAACGAATAGCAAAGAGGTGACTCGCTCTGCTACCTCTCTGCTATCTTCAGCTGTCAAATACCGGAGCGCTTTTTAGCGATCCAGTATTTGTATGTAACAGCTTCATTCTTTCATTTTACAAAAGCCTAACTATTTCATTAAGGAATGCCTCAATACTGAGGCATTCATTAATTAATGGTAACCGCTCAGTGGTTACCAGCATTACAGAGCCACAAATAACTGGTCACGTACACTTGGCCAGTCATTTAGGCACTTCGTGGCGGGATGTACAGTGTACGTCTCCCTTCACGAAGGGGTTAAACAGGATCACCTTTCACAGGTCTCTTGTAAACAACAGTGGGACCTTTGTCCTACTATACTTAAAATGCAGAAACCAATAAACCAATCTTAAATATTTATAAAAAGGGCTTATGTAGAAACCGAGATATTGTACATAGCAACCAATCAGTTGTAAGCTCTGTTTTTTTTTAAATGTAATGTACTCAGGCCTTTCATGGGTGCGAATATACAGGTACATCTCTAGAGTTCTGGTGCGTTATCTTGTTTTGTTGCAGAAGTATACAGAATATTCATGTCTATATAATGATTTCATAGATCCTGCTTAACTGATCGAATTAAAGGTTTTTACATGAGATTACTAATTCTAGGTGACTTAAGTAAGCAAATTGCATCTGTTTACATTATGAACTAAAATTTTAAGAGAGTAAACTAATAATTCAGCTACTGTTAACTATACATATGTTATTGTAAAGAAACCAATACATCTACAGAAATACTAAAGGAGATAAAATATATAACTTTTTGAATCTTTTTCAAAAACAGCTTCAAAAACAGATCACAATTGCTCTTTGACTAATTTTGTTTTAAAGTTAATGATACCACTTAACCGCAATATTCACTCACCTGAAGATATAGTTGTTGTTTCAGACGTTGTAGTAGGAATTATAGTTGTAGGAGTAGAGGTAATAGTTGTGGTGGTAGGAGAGGTGGTAGTAGGCGTTGTGGTTGTAGGAGTAGTGGTAGTGGGTGTTGTTGTAGTAGGAGGGGTGGTTGTTGGAGTTGTGGTTGTTGGAGTGGCAGTGGTTGGAGTTGTAGTAGGAGTTGTAGTAGTCGGCATTGTGGTACTGGTTGCAGTAGTAGTTATAGTTGTGGAATGGACACATACAATGTCACAGCAGTCCATTCGGACCTCATAGTTAAAGCACCTCTGCCAGAGGTTTTCATTTGGCTTCTGGTCACTGTTCAGACAGATGAGCCCATATGACACATTGCAGTGAATAGTCTGTTTCAAATCCTCCAAGCTGACATCTGGGGCATTAACTGCTCTGCACTGAATTTGCTCAGGCACACTGCAGAATGTATGATGTTTTCTTATCTCATCATAAGTTTCATAATCACCACTGTCCAAACCTTCCCCTGGCTTGCTCACATCATACCACTGGGTCCACCAGCATACTTTTTCATAGATACAACCTGTGCAAAACAATACATATAGGTAATTTACAGGATATACACTATTCATTTACAAAATGTGTTTGGTGTCATATAGTCTAATGCTTTGGTATATATGTACTTGATATCAGTTTCTGAAAAAGTGTATCCATGTTATTTGGCGTATGTAATAAATTGCATAAACTTTGCTGGGGTTATATATATAGTGAGTTAGATGCTGGAGCTTCGGCTCAGCTGATCCAGATGTTGGATCGGCTGAGTCGAACTTCTTCTGCACTTCAGCTCAGCCGAACATTCAGACATGTATGGTTGATTTTAGCCGATGTACGTCTGAAATCAACCGTATAATGCTGAAGTGAATAGCCAAACAGCGTTCAGCTCACTTCACTTCAGCTTGGTTATTCACTCAGCTGCCTTCGGCAGCTGAGTGAATAACCCCCTCAGTTATAGGGTCAAGGTGATAAATGTTTGAGTCATATAAAGTTGGGGATTAAGTATTAAATCTTAAGACACAGGGTAGGTGGTTTTAAGAGTTAAGGTTCTATTTTTTTGGTTAAGTTAAGGGGATGGTTAAATAAAACCTATCATGATAGAAACATGGAACTGATAAACTCTCCTTCTACAAATGTCAGTAGCTAGCTGTCACACTCACTTCTTACTTATATGCTTTGAGTCCCTAATATTGAACAAGTATGCAGAATGGTATTTTTCTCAAAAAAAATTTTTTTCTGCATTCTTGTTCTGGCTCAATCATGCAGAAATCAGTGTATCAGCTGGAAACAAGCATATTCACTTTTTATTCAATGGTTCATGAGTGAGATAACACTTTTAGATTGTTCATTTTTAACACTTTTAAGTGGCTCTTTCAGATTAAAAACTTAATTTACAAAACTGCTGTTAGCAGTTATAAAGTTTGGGGAACTAGAGGTGATTGCACATACCTGCAGCTGCTTTCATTGCCACCTGAATATTGAGCTATTCTGAACAGGCAAAGTTGTGACACTTCCCCATAGTGTGGGAGCATGTTTCTTCCCTCCTGCCCTGTGCATTCTAATTGGCCCATTAAAATGTCCTATTATTTGTACATATAAGGGGCAATCAAACCAGACAGAGTCACTTTAAGCTTGAGGCCACCACCGTTAAGTGTTTTGTCTATGCGATCAACAGCTACTCGGTTATATACAGGTGAAACTCGAATAATTAGAATATCGTGCAAAAGTAATTGCAGTAATTGCTACAAAAGGGGCCCAACCAAGTACTGAGTACATATGCATGCTTGTACTTTTCAGAGGTCCGATATTGTTCTATGTACAATCCTTGTTTTATTGATTGCATGTAATATTCTACTTTTTTGAGGTTGTGGATTTGGGGTTTTCATGAGCTGTAAGCCATAATCATCACAATGATGACAAATCACAGCTTGACCTATCTTGCTTTGCATGTAATGAGTCTATCTCCTATATTAGTTTCACCTTTTAAGTTGCATTAGTGAAATAAATGAACTTTGCACGATATTCTAATTATTCGAGTTTCACCTGTATGGTGGTTAAGGCATTAATAACCCTGCATACTGCACTCCACCATGTTCCCCTATAACAGGTATGACAATATTCAGGAAAAACTAATCATTAGACATGTAAGTTTTGTTTAATTCTAAATTGAAATTCAGACGAATTTCAGATACATTTGAATTTCCGAATTATAATGCATCTGAATTCAAACAGATTTTTTCTTTCTGACCTTTTTTTGAATTTCCAAATATTTAATTCTAATGACCAGTATGGACTAAAATGACCAGTAGAGATTAAGAGGAACAGTACAGACTAACATTGACATGTAAGTTTTGTTTAATTCTAAATTGAAATTCAGACGAATTTCAGATACATTTGAATTTCCGAATTATAATGCATCTGAATTCAAACAGATTTTTTCTTTCTGACCTTTTTTTGAATTTCCAAATATTTAATTCTAATGACCAGTATGGACTAAAATGACCAGTAGAGATTAAGAGGAACAGTACAGACTAACATGACCATTATGGACTAAGGGGACCATTATGGACTAAGGGGACCATTATGGACTAAGGGGACCATTATGGACTAAGGGGACCATTATGGACTAAGGGGACCATTATGGACTAAGGGGACCAGTAAGGAATAAGAGGACTAGTATAGAACTAAAATGAGCAACTCCCCCCTCCCAAAATATTAATTAAGGTAATTTTTAATTAAAGAACTCAATCTGAATTGTTTTGAACGAAACATAAAAAATTTGGATCGATCCGAACAGAAAAAACAAAACATTTGGATCAATTTGAACCGAAAACTATAATTTTTAATCAATCCGCATTCCGAATAATGAACCAAATCGAATTTCGGATCCAAAATGTGAGCCTTTACATGTCTATATAAATCATAATACCCATAACTTACTTGTTGAAGGTGGACTGCTTGTTGTTGTCATTGGAGATGTGGTGGTGACTAAAAGAAAAGAAACAGTATTATGAAGATTTATTATTATTAGCAATTACGTGCCTCAAACTCACATAAATTAAAAATGAATAGTATGTGCACTGCAATCTGTTCATTGAATAGACAAATTTAATTTCCACATAAAGCAACTCTGATTTAATTTTGCATTAGAAAATATATTATACAGTACATTTCCACATGTCTAGCAAAGCATGCCAAATGCCAAGTTACTAATGCAACATGTGATAGCTTTTAAAGTTTATTAACTTCTTGAAAAAGGTTAATGCTAAGAACAGGTTGAACTATGTTAGAGTTATTACCTGTTGTGCTTGTGATAGTAATGGATGTAGTGGAGGGTGCTGAAGTGCTACAGACTTCCAACTCTTGCTGCCAAAGGGGGCCAAACCAAGTACTGAGTACATATGCATGCTTGTACTTTTCAGAGGTCCGATATTGTTCTATGTACAATCCTTGTTTTATTGATTGCATGTAATATTCTACTTTTTTGAGGTTGTGGATTTGGGGTTTTCATGAGCTGTAAGCCATAATCATCACAATGATGACAAATCACAGCTTGACCTATCTTGCTTTGCATGTAATGAGTCTATCTCCTATATTAGTTTCACCTTTTAAGTTGCATTAGTGAAATAAATGAACTTTGCACGATATTCTAATTATTCGAGTTTCACCTGTATGGTGGTTAAGGCATTAATAACCCTGCATACTGCACTCCACCATGTTCCCCTATAACAGGTATGACAATATTCAGGAAAAACTAATCATTAGACATGTAAGTTTTGTTTAATTCTAAATTGAAATTCAGACGAATTTCAGATACATTTGAATTTCCGAATTATAATGCATCTGAATTCAAACAGATTTTTTCTTTCTGACCTTTTTTTGAATTTCCAAATATTTAATTCTAATGACCAGTATGGACTAAAATGACCAGTAGAGATTAAGAGGAACAGTACAGACTAACATGACCATTATGGACTAAGGGGACCATTATGGACTAAGGGGACCATTATGGACTAAGGGGACCATTATGGACTAAGGGGACCATTATGGACTAAGGGGACCATTATGGACTAAGGGGACCAGTAAGGAATAAGAGGACTAGTATAGAACTAAAATGAGCAACTCCCCCCTCCCAAAATATTAATTAAGGTAATTTTTAATTAAAGAACTCAATCTGAATTGTTTTGAACGAAACATAAAAAATTTGGATCGATCCGAACAGAAAAAACAAAACATTTGGATCAATTTGAACCGAAAACTATAATTTTTAATCAATCCGCATTCCGAATAATGAACCAAATCGAATTTCGGATCCAAAATGTGAGCCTTTACATGTCTATATAAATCATAATACCCATAACTTACTTGTTGAAGGTGGACTGCTTGTTGTTGTCATTGGAGATGTGGTGGTGACTAAAAGAAAAGAAACAGTATTATGAAGATTTATTATTATTAGCAATTACGTGCCTCAAACTCACATAAATTAAAAATGAATAGTATGTGCACTGCAAACTGTTCATTGAATAGACAAATTTAATTTCCACATAAAGCAACTCTGATTTAATTTTGCATTAGAAAATATATTATACAGTACATTTCCACATGTCTAGCAAAGCATGCCAAATGCCAAGTTACTAATGCAACATGTGATAGCTTTTAAAGTTTATTAACTTCTTGAAAAAGGTTAATGCTAAGAACAGGTTGAACTATGTTAGAGTTATTACCTGTTGTGCTTGTGATAGTAATGGATGTAGTGGAGGGTGCTGAAGTGCTACAGACTTCCAACTCTTGATGCTCTGTGCCATTCACACATTTTATTACAATACAAACTCCGGATGACGGATCTACTGTGGATATGATTTCACCTTCTTCATGTCTTACGCCATCGATGATACAGAAACAAGCTGTAACCAACAGACAACAAAGTCATTTCTTTTATTTACAAGCATATAACTAAACAATGTGAATATGCCTTGTAACACATGTAAATCCAGAAAATACTTGATAACATCAAATGGTTAATAACAGGTTTCTATCCCTCCCTGACTTTTATGTAGTCTACAAAGGACAGTTTTATCCACAATACTATGAAACCTACATTTATTTCAACTCTTTTTAATAGTTGCAGTAGAAATTATGTGTAATGATTATTAGTTAGTTATAGTTTAGTACTAATGTTCCTTACAATATGTATGGAAATCATATTCAAATACCAGTCTGAATGTAAACATTGAGATGCCCACACACATAACACACCACAATACTGTCCTGTAAAGAGAAGGTGGCAAACTCCTTAGTCAGTGGGGTTGATTTACTGAAGTCATACAACATGTTCACTTTGGAAAGTAAATGTTCACTTCCACTTTTTTTTATTCACATTGAGTGTTCACTACAAATATCCAATCATGTACAAGCAAGCATCTTGTTTTTCTATTTCCTTTGCATATGATTAGGTATCCAGCATCAACATCACTTCACCTTATTTTCTAAAATAAGTGAACATACACTTTTCGATATGAACATTCACGTTATTAAGTGAACAGCCTCTACTCCTTTAGTAAATCAACTCTGCTTATCTAGCAGAAAGTGTGAAGAGGATGATTCAATTTACTATTGCGTCTTTTTTTTTTTAACTGGCAAGACAGAATTTTGTAACAAAATAACAGCCTTTCTGTCTTTGACATCCTATATATATATATACAAATATTGTTAATTCTATAAACATATTTGCTGAATGTACCTGACTGGTTGTAGACACACTCAACCTTTGCTTCTGGAGAACATACACTAAACAAGAAAACAAGAAAAATGTAATTGTTATTACATTTGCAGCTATAGTATTTATACTTTTAAGGACTCGTTCAAACCAAGCCACACCTTTGTGTAAGGGTGGTCAGGGGTGGTGCTTTCTGTTGTTACAACGCAAGCCACTGTTTTCATTTTTTTTTACTTTATTGTAACGGAGCTCCCATTCAGTGCCATGGGGTAACTGCAGTGAGGTGCAGTGCATGGTGTGTCTGCATTTTTATGCAGCCCACCTCAACATGTTGTTATGGTAAGAACAGGGTACATAGCAGACAAATTGTTTTCTATGTGACCTGGAATTAAGCCTGTGTTTTCTGTGCAGAACAATGCAGTATAGCTGATGTGTTGTGAACAAGTCCTAACTGAACCCCTGGCAAGCAGTCGTTCCACTAATTATAGACTGTATACAAAGAGCGAACACTATAACTGCCTCCTTTCGATGCTATGTTTTTAACAAAGGAACATAATAATAATAACAAATAATAATTTTGTTTTTTAATCAACTTTCTACTTCAGTGCACATTTGATATGTGTATTGACAAGTAACTTTGAAATCGGACTGTGTCCATCAAATTGTATTTAAAAGTTTCCCCTTTTTTTGAGGACTACAGCCTGCAGGGTGCCCCCTTACAAAAGTTGTCCCCATCAGAGTGTCCTCTAAAATTGGTTGTCACCATTGTAAGGGGCACTCTGATGGGGACAACCAGTGTAAGGGGGCATCCGTATGGGGGAAAACTAATTTATTAGTTGCTCCCATCAGAGTGCCCCCTTACATTGGGTGTCCCCTTTAGAGTGCCTCTTTATATTAGTGTTTCTACATATCTTATTTTACTAGTAGTAGGTCAAGGGTGGGAGCAGGGAGGCAGAGCAGGATGCAGAACAGGAAGGAAGATGACAATCTTCTGTCCTCTTGCAATGTCCCGAGCAGGGAACACATTTGACGCCACTGCTTGCTAGGACTGCTGGCGGCCCTAGCAACCAATGACTGCAGAGTAGGTGAAATGGCGTCATTGGTTGTCAGGGTGCCAGCAGCCCTAGCAATGAATGACTAAAGAGAAGGGGGAGCCTGTGCTGGATTATGGCTGGCAGTGGATACAATGGCCTCAAAGGCCAGCACATCCACTGTCATTCATTCATAACATAGCTTAGGTTGGCAATCCCGGACCGAACCGCCACTTAGTCCATGTCCGGACCGCAGTCCGCCATTTAGGGACACCTACTCTAGAGATACATTTTAAAGAATCAGTCTACCTACAACTGATATTTCAGTTTTGGTAGATACTGGGGAATTTTACAATCTAATAGGTTCTCTATGCATCTCTATATATAGAAGGCCTTGGTTAGCCATCTAAATCTTAAAGGAGATCTATGAGATGAGTGATTTCCACTCTACGCCGGGATCCGCTCCGGCTGCGGCGTCTCGGTATACTGCGAGCTGTAGCTCACGGTTTACTGAGCTTAGGGTAATGGGAGGACACTAGTTTGTGTCCTCCCATTACCCTAAGGAGAACTATGGGGAAAAACACTGACCCCATAGTTCTCCTTTAAAGCGTTAAACCTACTATCACATTCTATTGTCTGTGTGTCCCAATTGGGCAGATTCATGCCTTTATTTGTGCTGGTGGCCATGTGTTGCTGACCCAAATGTCTAAGAGGGGAACTCTCTTCACTGTGGATGATTTCTTCTAACATACTATTGTGTCTCTGGGACAGGAAGAGAATGGACATTTCCCAATGGAACAAAAAAATAACTTGGCAGAATTTTTACCCCTTCTATGAACTATCTAAAATTAAATAAGTTGTTAGTTTAAAAAAAAAATGTATTGTCTCCAGAGGCTGGACAGTTACAAGAGACATTTGCAGTTCACATCTTCCTTGAAAGCTATTTTTTTATCATGTTAGATTAAAAAAGATCCTCTAAAGATAACCATACACATGAAATAAGTGTTGCCTGGCACACGCATTTAAGCTGAATCAGACAGCGATACCTGTGTTTAGGGAATCTCACATTAAATAAACCTCAGTTGCTCATGACCAACTATCCTTAGGGTAAAAGATGAACACCGTTGTTGTCAATTTTTTCAGAAAATTATATAATTATTTCCGCAGGAGATCTTTTGTCTGAAACTCTTTACTCAAACTTGCATGTCTGGATCAGTACACATGTTTTTGACTGTGGAGGATGTTTGGGAAGGAAGATATCCTTAACACCAGCTTATCTGGGGGAAATCATTATTTCCCTGTACAGTACTGACAAAGATATTGATTATTGTTAAAATGCATACTCATATACTCATTGTTCCATCTACAGTTAACTATAAACAGATTATGTACAGGTGAAACTCGAATAATTAGAATATTGTGCAAAAGTAATGGCAGTAATTGGTGCAAAAGGGGCTCAAACCAAGTACTGAGTACATATGCATGCTTGTACTTTTCACAGGTCCGATATTGTTCTATGTACAATCCTTGTTTTATTGATTGCATGTAATATTCTACTTTTTTGAGATTGTGGATTTGGGGTTCTTGGGGTTTTCATGAGCTGTAAGCCATAATCATCACAATTATGACAAATCACGGCTTGAACTATCTTGCTTTGCATGTAATGAGTCTATCTCATATATTAGTTTCACCTTTTAAGTTGCATTACTGAAATAAATGAACTTTGCACGGTATTCTAATTATTCGAGTTTCACCTGTATACTTTTCTTCCACAGTAGATAATATGTCTTACCAAGTGTGACAGCTCTCAGTGCTGGGCACTTCCTCCCCATTTTCATAGTGGGTGTTATTAATGTAACAACCACATAGCTCTGGGGGCACGCAAATCCTCTTTGACTCATCAAAAATAGGTTTGTCTTTAGGGCAAGTTGGGTAGCAGCCTAACAAAATGCAAAATTATGTTGTGAGTTATTAGCACCATGCTGTTTAATTCTCAGAAAATATCCACACCAAATAAAATTAAAAGTGACCCATGGCATTTCTCTCCCATCCAACAATATCTGTGCACAGAGGCTGTTGTAATCTCTTTATTACTCCTATTTTCATATTACAGGTCCCTAGCAAAAACTGATGCAGAGGTCACTTTAAACATATGTAACCCTATAGATAGTGATTCAATAGTGTGTGGTACAGAACACATATTCCATTTAAGGGAAACATACATAGGCATACCTAAGGCATAAGAATAAAGTTACCTAGTTAGTAAGTGAGGTTGAATTAAGGTACAATGTCGCAATGGTACATGTTGCTAACAATTTCCTTACCTTTAACCAATATATATATATATATATAGATAGATCTAGATAGATCTAGATAGATAGATAGATAGATAGATATCTCTCTCTCTATCTATATATACAGATAGATAGAGAGAGAGAGATATCTATCTGCTGGGGTTAGGTTCCCAAGGGAATGGTTGTAAATAGAAACCAGTTTAAATTAAAACCCAGTATATAATGTAAGTCAATGGGAAGCGAGGGTGTTATGTTCCAGACCTTTCTCAAAATTGACATAAGTAAAAAAATACAGGTACATTATTTTTAAAGCTGCTGAATGAGCTCCCACAAGGAGCTTTAAATAAAATGTACATGTATTATGTTAGTTATGTCAATTTTGAGAGAGGCTTGGAACCTAGCTTCCGTACTTTCCACTGACATTATTTACTGAGTTTCAGTTTACACCAGTTTCTATTTAGAACCATTCCTTGTTTTGAGAGAGGCCTGGAACCCAACTCCCTCACTTCCCATTGACATACATTATATATGTGGTTTCAGTTTACAACACTCCAAGAAAAAATATATATACTGCATATGACAATTTAAATAAATGCCCGGATCTTAGACTTTCATAGTTTAAACACAGACCTGGAAGAACTAAAATCAGAACTCCTAATCTGCATACTTGTTTGGAGGCCGTGACCTAGAAAGTATTAAAGCCATTGAGTCACCATAACAGTCAGGAAACTAGTATTTTTCACAAGGAGAGGCCAGCAATAGCTTGCATTAGCTATATATTTCTTTTACTTACAACAATTGTTTTTCCTCTTCCTGGTCCCCTTGGGCATTAGTAATGTAATGTGCCCAAGAGTTACATCCTGGGAAGGCTACATCAGTAGAACATTGCTGAAATCTCATGAAATCTCAAGGAAAGGCACTTTCCTCTCCTGAGATGACATGTATGGTCACATGTCCTAGTCACATGTGCCAGAGTTCCAGGAAGTAAAGGGATATTAGCGGTGCACTGAAATAACATTTTGAAACCGAAAATACAAAAAATGGCAGGCCGAAACTGGGAAAATATTTTTTTTGAATAGAGTCCTCAATCTCTTTTTCTGCAGCCCCTGTTATGAATGAACAGGAATCCTCTATACTGAGTGTTCCTGTAAATGCATAACTTGTGGATATAGTATTTTTTTTATGTGCACAATCATGAATGAACGGGAAGTGATGTAGAGCACTTCATGCTCCTTCATAATTGGGAATACAGTAAACATACCACATCCTCAATTATTTACAAGTAGTCAGCAAACACTGATAGCTGACTTCTTGTACCTGCTCTCCATCCTGTCACAGGAGCCTGAGCGGGTGTTGCGTGAAGAGAGCAGGTTCTACTTTGACAGCTGACTCCTCCCCCACACTGCGAGCTCGGCCTCATGTGACACCTGACAGTTGTCTCTGCCACCACACTGCTCTCCATCCTGATATGTCACAGGAGGCTGAGTGGGACGGTGCGGGAGGAGAGCTCAGCCTCCTGTGACATTGTGGCTCACAGCGCCCCGCTCTGCCTCCTGACAGTTTCTTTCCTCCTTAGCATGCTACCTGTTAGCACTGCAGCACAATTGATTATCTTGTTCTGTTTATCTATCTCTAAATCTGAGCTCTTGGTGCACAGCGACTTAAGAGACGAATACTAATTCAGCTTTAGGTACTTACACTGCTTGAATTTCAAAATAGAGGTAACAATACATTGATAAATACAAAGCCATATTTATGTGTGTATTTTACATCTGTATGGAGTTCAGCATTAATGTGTTATAACAAAGCCTTAGTAATTGTGTTATAAGATTCAGAATAGCATATAATAGTTCTGGGAGACTCACCTTCCAGAAAAGTGATGGTGACGTTAGTATAGACATTGTTGATGGAGCGACATGTCGTTATGTTGTCATTGCCACATGGGTGATAATGCCACTCACATTTATCTTTAGGATTATAGTAGTCACAAAATATGGCTAGAGGGAAAAAAAATGTAATTATTTGGCTGAAGCACAATTGTGGTATACAGTTCGGTGTTTTCTAATGTCAGTAATTTGGATTATGTATGTGGTTTAATAATACCAAACATCAATGCAGACTTTAGAGTCTAAACTTACAGACAATGATAAAGGTAGCTGTATATTCTTCTGTATCCCCCGTTGAGCTCAGAGGTTCCTCCCACCGTTCCTCCCACCGTTCCCCACATCAATGCAGGACACAGTAGCAACATAGGGGTTGGTGAAAGGAACCACTGCAGTGAGTGCAGCGTGGGAACACAAAAGATCGACATTCCCGGAAGTGTCAGTTCCTGTCCAGATTTCAGTGGAGGATTGTTCATCAATGAAAGGTTGTCCAGCAGTGTGGATAAAGTAAACATTTACAATCTTCTTTCTAGGTGGGGGGGGGTTAAGCCACAGAGTCCCATTTAGAATCTTGTCTAATCCTTTCACTGACTGGTGCCCTGATGTTTTAGGAAGCCATGTACAGCACCCTGCTGCTGGTCGCTCCCACCAGATGTGATCTATCTGCATTGCATGGAGAAGCAAAGACCCAGTTATGACATAAATGGGTCTAAAATAAAGTATGCAATGAAAACAGAGGATGACAGAGTTCATTAGCACGTGGATGGTGAGGGAGGACCAGCTTTACTCAAGTGAAGTTGTCAGCCTAAAAAAGTTATTTAAGGTAAACAAAAATACTGGGCATATAACTAACAGTATTATTTCTGCATTAAATTAAATTTGGCTAAAAATTTTAATATAAATAAGTAAAAGTACATAAACTATAAATTATAATATTAATAATAATTACCTTCTTCACTATTCATCAGATAACACTTTTCAAGCTGCTCACAGACATAGTATTTGTGGTTGAATAAAGACATAAGTCCATCAAGTCCAACCTATTGTGTGTATGCATTTATGAGCTGATGTGTGCGTGTATACGAGTCCATGTGTGATTTTTCTCTTGGCTATACCTGTACCCCTTAATGCTCTGGTCTCCCAGGAGACAGACATAAGATATTTAAAAATTAGCACTTACTGATGACAGTAAGTGGGTGATTAATAACCGGTTTGCATGGCGAACAGCTATACGAGTGAGATTCACTGTTCATTATTAGCACTAGATGGGGCCCAGGAGGATAGGACATTTCTATGGAAACTTATGAAAAATTCCTATGCTTCCTAGACTCAATTTATTGGCCAGGATGTACTGCAAATCTCATTTGCATAGCTATTCAATGTTCACATGGATTATAAATCAACCCCCAAGTAAGGGGAATCTGTTCAACACACATAGAAAGAACATTTATGGCCATTGTTCACAGTGGATTGGGGAAAGGTTACAACTTCCGTAAGCTTATATTACTGTCTGTGTTCCTCCTGATTACACGCACTTCCTGTATATTTATTAGGTCAGTCAAGAAATGAGTGGAAGTTTCCATAAAGGGAACAGAGACAGTAATAAAAAAAACCTTATAGATGTTTTAACACCAACCCACACTACCAAAAATTAAAAACAAAATATGACTATAGCTAAGATTTGAGCTCTAAAATACTATACTCACGGCATATATCTGGTGTTCTCCAGTAGACACAGGCATCGGATTTGGTGCACTCCTGAGCATAGGCAGCTACTGCAGTGCAGAAGCACTCACAGTCTCCACCACTATCACAGGAGCATGCATCTCTCACGCAAGCCTCATAGAATGGTATTGGATCCACCTATCACAACATTAAAAATTGTCAGGTGACTTTCATGTGTATAGTGTTTAACATCCTTACTTTAACCTAAAACATGTTCCAAACCTATTATCTTTTAATTAGACTTCCTGTTCTGGTGACAAAGTGACTCTAAGACAGAAATTAAGGGAGAAATTTTCAAGGAGGATAACGTTCCCATAAAAACACTCTTTATTTCAGTAGACTAGGGGAATGCTAAAACTCCCATGAACATATTATGTCTGTCTGCTTCATGTTTAAGATTTACCCTCACCTTCTGTCCAAGTGATAACATTGTCACTAAGATAATACGTGAGGGGAAGAGTCCTCCGGCATCAATACAACAGGAGAGGTTCTTACAATTCCCTACTGTATCCAAAACTAAGAAAATGTTTTGGCTGGAGTAAAATTTTGCTGTCCTCCAATCTCATCTACATACCTTGCTGTGACAGACTTTAAAGACATCACTTTTGATTATTCCACACTGCTTCTCAGCCCAGGCATGGCGATGTGGTTTCTGACTGCAAGGGTTGATCACCTCTGTGGCATCAGGACAAGTAGGGTCCAATTTCCAGCTATTTCCAAACTCTAGCACATCATTAACTTGTAACATGTGGCTGGTTGTAAAATCATTTTGTGAATTATCATCAAAATTTCCGCACAAACCACACAATTTGCCCTGTGAAAAGATATGTATTTATATATAATGGATTCAAAATAAGAAAACAAAAAAAAAAGATTTCAATTAATTCCAGACTAATGGCTCTTTACATTTCATACGCAAGAGAATAACTACAAATCTAAATTCAGAAAATAAAAAAACCTTATACAAAAAAACAATTGATAATGTCACTGATACCATCATCGCCATTATTTTCCATCCCTTACACGAGGTTTAGAAGCCTGGTACTGCCAAAATGATAAATGTTTGAAAAGAGGAAGAGTGGAGCAAAGATGTGTTCTGTTACTGCTGATATTTTGGGGGCTATCAAATATGTCAATGTTATAGAAACATTAACCTGTTATTAGTCAGCTAGACAACATACCAGTAGAATACGATTATATGAGAAATAGAAACTGAGACTACACAGATATTAGTTATGAGACTATTTCTGCTTTATTAAAAGGGAGGACTACTTGTATACATGTTTCCAAACAAGCCGACCTGTAGTCCTATGTGTAGCTAAGGGTCAAGCTTGCCTCAGAACCAATCTAATCTAGATCTATGGTGAGAACATTCGGTGTGCACCCTGCAAGCTGCAAGTTCTGATAAGAACATCTCATATGACTTGTGAAAGGTTGAAGGAAGGCAAATCAACAAACGGAAAAAAGACACAGCGCTCTCTTGGGAGTGTGGAGTATGTGTGAAAACGGCCGATGGGATTGCTGCTCTAAAAACAGGGGGAGAAACCTGTGAACATAAAAATGAGGCAAATGAGAGCGCAAATCCTGGGAGTGTAAAAGGTGTAGGCACAACCAGTGTCTGTGTGTTACGGGTAAAAAGGACAAAAAATAATCAAAACGAAATATTAAAAGACAAAGAATTAGAAACTTACTTGAGGAGCCGAAAGTCCTGGTAAGGGAGGCCGCGGAGGGGTTCTGGCGATGCGAGATATATACGGTGTATCCCGGGGGTGAAAGGATGAATGAAGGAAAGACCAATTTAAACTAACTGCTGTGTGGGCAGAGGGACTAGTGGAGAGGCTGCCTCTAGTCTTGGTTGTGACCAAGGGAGAGGTTGCGACCAAGACTAGAGGCAGCCTCTCCACTAGTCCCTCGGCACACACAGCACTTAGTTTAAATTGGTCCTTCCTTCATTCATCCTTTCACCCCCGGGATACACCGTATATATCTCACATTGCCAGAATCCCTCCGGGGCCCCCCTTACCAGGACTTTCGGCTCCTCAAGTAAGTTTCTAATTCTTTGTCTTTTAATATTTAGTTTTTTGATAATTTTTTGTCCTTTTTACCAGTAACACACAGACACTGGTTGTGCCTACAACTTTTACACTCCCAGGATTTGTGCTCTCATTTGCCTCATTTTTTGAAGGAAGGCAAATTCCTATTTGTATAACAAAATAGAGATACATTTACAAAATGGAACCCAGAAATCTAAATTTCCATCACAACCCAATCACTCAAATTTCATATACTGTGCGTTTTAACATGTTAGTATATTTCAGAAATTATCTCAATATTTTTGAATCTGCAGCTCTCATTAAAATAATACCCAGGGATTCTTGCATGAAAGTCCTTGTTGCTTTTCTAATTGTTCTTCCACATCGTCACCCTGTAACATACTCTTTCAATGAAGACTACAATCAGCCATGCCCATGCACAATGCATAGGCATGTTCCACTGTTGTCCCTGTCAGGAAACCTGCCCTTAGAAATGCCATGCAGCCATTGCTGGAGTGCATGAAGGCAGGAAGGAACTAAAAAGAGGCTGCAGTAGAATAGCAGCACTGAGATGCAGCAAAGGCTAAAAAAGGTGAAAACAAGTATTTTATTTTAAAAACAGCAATTGCTTATGATATACAGTGAAAGTAAATGTCATTCAGGTAGGGTTTGAATCGCTTTAAGGAATAGGGTCAACAGTACTTTCTTCTTTGGAGTCAGGAAATAAGGGAGTACTGAAAGCTATGATAAGTCTTCAGGTATAAATGTATTACAGGCCAATTTAGACACCAAAGGAATAATTGCAAATACTGAGCACAATGCAATCAGTGTAGATATTTTTTTCCTGAATAATCTGGACAGCAAGTTAGAATGTTCAACTTCTAGTGCTGGATACAATCTTTATACCTTGTATGCAGGTGACACCTTGATGAATATGGTGGTCTTTCTGTCCCAGATCAAAAGAATACCATTGCTTGCCTCAATGACCAGGTAAATACCAACTTCACGGGTCAGGTAACTCACACTTTGTACACCATGGCCTTCAGTTTCCACTAAGTGTTTGTCTGCCAATTTTAGTACTTTATCCTGAGATAAAACAAAACAATATTAATTTATTTCATATATTTATCAGCATTCATACATGTCTGTGTGCATATGATAGAATTTTTACTGCTAGTGTGGCATTTTTCTAACATCCACATTTTTTTATGTTTACACCCCAAAAAATGGTCACAATAAACATACTGCACATGTAACAGTATGGATATCACTAAAAACCTTTAAACTTTTCTTTAATTTAACCAAAGCCCATTATTTTAGTGCAAGGTTATGGATTTATATTTGGGTTAAATTGCTAGTAAAGCTGAACTCCAGGTTTTTTTGCATGCAGGAGGGTTTTTAATTCTGTTCTAGTTTTAAAGCAGGACTCCAGGATTAACCCTTTTTATGAACCCTTGCCATGGGGCTACCCCTGCACTGCAAGGCTTAAGTGGTTATTTGTAGGATATACTCACCCAAAGTTCTGAGCCAGCCAGCGGTCACAGCGCTTCCTCCAGCCTGTTCTCTCCTCGGCAGCAGCAGATTGGAATGTTCCTCAGTATCCTCACATCTATGCAGGGGTGTCAAACTCAATTTGATACCCCTGCATAGAGCCGCATCAATATTATGGTTGCCCTCAGGTAAGACTAAGACAATATAAATGTATCTAATCTTTACCATAATTGACTCTGCATTCGATTATCACTTGTTTTAGTAATAACTTAATACCTAGATCTGAAGTCTAGGAAATGGCCTGGTGGGCCGGATTCAGCCTCCGAGCCTTGAGTTTGACACATGTGATTTACTGGATCTTAGACTGCTGCAGAAGAGGGGGAGAGACATTCCAGGGACTGGTCTAAGAAAAGCTGGCTCAAAACTTTGGGTAAGTAATTCTTTAGGGTTTTTTTAACCTAGACACAAATAAGCAATTAACTCTTGCAGTGCGGGGGTAGTCCCACTGCAAGAGTTAATAAAAAATTCCTGGAGTTCTGCTTTAAGGTTTACACAGCTCTGCCCCACAGCACAGCCCTATCTGGTAGGACAGAAGACCTGTTTTTTCTCTGCTGCAGTTTAGTAACACGTCCCAGTCATGTCCCCTCCCCTTCCACATGACTGGACAGTGAAAGAAGAAGCAGTAAACCGGTCGATAAAGGTCGTTACCAAGTCAAATTCATGAACTTACACTACATGCATTTTAGAAAAATACATTTGAAGTAGGGATGTCCTGATACCGATGCTAGCATCGGAATCGGGCCCGATACAGGGCATTTTGACAAGTACTTGTACTTGTCAAAATGCCCCAATGCCTAGCGCCGAAGCTTGCGCCCACCGGAGCAGCAGTGACGCGACGATCGGCAAGGTAAGTAAGAAGAAAAAAAAACCCGCAGTGGCCAGTCAGCGCTGGTCCAGTGGGAGGAGCTCCAGGTGGGGTTCTAATTTAGCTGGCAGGCACCTCTAAGCCAGCTAAATTAGGACCCCACCTGGAGCTC